AAAAAGAAAAAAAAGAAGAGTAAGGCAGTGGTCCACCCATTCTACTCTTCTCACCACACCATTGCCTCAGCACCTATGGCAGGCAGTAGCACGCAGTCGCAGCCCGGGCTTCTGCCCCTCCTGACTTCCCACCGTTGTGGCAGCACATCAAGCCGATGGCCTGTGACTACCACTGCAGAGGCAAGCTGCCTCCAAAGAGCTCTTCACATTCATCAGGCACAGACACTGTACATGCGGCCAGCTCTCTGTCCACTCCGCAACACTCAGCCATGGAGCAGCCAGCCGGCCCTGGCCTCCATATCTGGATCCCAGCAGCCTGTGTTGACCACCCTTGGCCCAAAGGGACACAGGCCACTGCAGAGTACGTCAGGATCGACCTTCACACAGACCCTAAGAGAAGGTAGCAGGGTCACAGAAAGCCGGAGGGGAGCCTCTATGAAGAGGAAAGAAGGGCCAAGTCCCCAAAGCCCCAGAGTCCTGGCGTCACGGCATCACCAGCTGTGCTAGCCAGTCATGGCAGAGCCAGCAGATGCCTGTCCCAGCCATAGCTCAAAGGACTCAGCCCTGGTGGCCTCCAATCTGGCTCCCTAACATTGCCACAGCCCAGCTTCAATCCCCTCTGCCTGGAGCTGCTCTTTTGTTGCTCCCTCATCCACAGAAGAGGCAAAGTTATCCCTTCGGTTCTCATCAAGACCTGCACCCTCTGCCACTGAGGCAGGCTGGTGGGGGGGGGGGGGGGGGGGGGAGGAGTGGTGGAGCAAGGAAACTGGGAACACTGGGAAATGTACACTGGTAAAGGGACCGGTGTTGGAACATTGTCACTGTTACTGTCCTCCTGTTGTTCATGGATTTGCTCCAGCGGGCCTAGTAACCTCTCCATTGTGAGACTTGTTACTGTGTTTGGCATATCAAATACATCACAGATAAACTGCCAGGCCCTCCAAAAGGGGCAGAGGAATCGAACCTGGGTCGGCACCGGCAAACGCTCTACCTGCTGTGCTATATATATATATATATATATATATATATATATATATATAAACAACTTTGTAACTGTGTATCTCACTGTGGTTCAATGTAAAAGAAAAAAATTTTCCCATACCCTGGCCCCTTTCTATCCCCTTCTTCTCTCCTCTCTCTCCCTGCCCTCATGCCTGATACACAGAAATCCCATCATCTCCACCTTCCAATGTGTGCACCATCCAGTCCCTTGTGAGCTTGTGGGAGAAACTTCCCACTGGGCGCCCAAAGCGCTCTCCAAAGCTGTCCTCATTGACACAGAAACAAGGACAACGACAACGATGACAGCATGATGACTAGCAAACAGTTTGATCACTCTGCCAGGCACCAGGCTAAGTGATTCAGAGGCTATTTAACTAAGCTCATGACAGTGCTCGCATTATTATCCCCAACACCAGCACTTCCAGAGGCGAGGCAGAGAAAGGCTCATTAAAATGTCCAAAGACACAGCTACACAGTGTCACAGCCAGGGCTGAACACGGACAGCCAATGCTCAGATCCAACACGAGCTTCCAGATCCTCACCGACCTCTACATTGGGCACAGTGCCAGGCCCAGATGCAGAGGGACAGGACTCCCACCGCGGAATCTTTTGCACCTAGTGGTCTCTGGGGAGCTTGAGACACAAGAACTCACATAGACACAGGGTGGCAGGGCCTCATTATTGTCCAATGTAGTTTGAAAGGACGAAGGGCATGAAGAGCATCATGTTTAGAAGAACATCTCTCAGGCCAGGGAGAGGGTTCACAGGCTGGAGCACCGGCCTTGCATGCAGGAGACCCGGCTGGACCCCCAGCACCACATGGACCGGGAGCAGGCTGGCCAGGGTTGGCCCCTGCATACCACGGGATGTGGCCCAAAGATCAACAGAAAAGACTCATGACTATCAGGCTAATCTAAAGTCACCCACAGACCAAGGTGACTAACTTCTGGGATAGAAGGGAAGTGGTGACCACGCATTCCTTCCTTTTGTTCTCTACTCCCTCCACCCCAGCTGTCGCTGGGCACTTCTAGCTGCCATGCCAAGGCCAGACCGGGACTCGGAGCTGCAGCATGCTGCTGGCATGAAGAGGCAGTGCTGACCAGGAATCAATATGCAGAGCAGAGGGGTGGCCAGCGCCAGAGCCGGCCCTCAGTGGGGATGGATACCTCTGCAGCAGCAGGTTCTGCACAGTGAGAGGGTGGTGGGGCCCTGCCCACGTGGCCCAGAAGACCTGGGAGGCAGCACTAGGGTCTGAACCCGTGCCCACTCCTGCCAACTGGCCCATGGGCAGCGACAGCTTAGTGTGTGCAGGAGAGCTACTGCCCGCAAGGGGGACAGTCCCTCCTAGCTCACTGCCCCCAGCAACACAGCTTCAGAAGCTCCTCTGTCCGGAAAGCAGGGGAACCCCAACAGCACATGCCCTCACACAAGCTTCCCACCCCACCCTTCACATTCCTTTCACCCACATGAACCTAGAAGAGGATGGTATGGCTGGGGCCTGGGCTGGGAGAGAACGTGACCTCCCAAGCCCGTGGCCTGGCCCAGACAACCTGCTGGCTTGTGTCTGTGGGCCACACAGAGAACACAAAGATACCAGACTTCTCCGGTGGAGGAGAGCAGCATCAAGTGTGCACTGTGTGGGCAGAGCTGAGCACACACCAGGATGCTCAGTGTCAGCCCCAAGAACCTACAGAAAGCTGAGGGCAGGGAGAGAACCCCTGTCCAAGGTGGCAGCAGGGCACTGACAGTTGGGAGCGACAGCAGCCCTGCAGTGCACCAGACGCTAAGAACGGCAGCTGTCTGAGCCCACAGCAAAGACAACTACACTACGGGGCCAGATGTGCCTGCTCTTCTGCCTCCTGCAGGGCTTACACAAATTGATCAACCTCTGAACCCTTAAAAACGTTCTGGAGACTTGGAGAGGTGCTACAACGATAAGATGCTTGCCCTGCAAGTAGCTGATCCAAATTCAACCCCCCCATATCCTGTAAAATTCCCTGAGCATCCCAGGAGTTTTCTCCACCAAAAAAAAAAAAAAAAAATTCTGGGGCTGAAGTTTCTTGCATGCAACAAACCTGGGTTCAACTCCCAACACTGCATATGGTCCCCCAAGCAGGAAGTGATCCTTGAGCACAAAGTCAAAATGAGCCTGAGCACCAGGTATGGCCCGAAACCGAAAGAAAATAAAGAGGAAAAAAATAAATTCTGGACTTCTTTGTACCCACGATCATCGGAAGAGGGAGACAAGAGGCAAGGACTATTGTCCTTGTCTGCGTCTGTGTCCCCATGGAGCCACTGTGACACGAATGGGTGCTGGGCATGCAGCCTGGACAGAGGGAGCACTGGACACGGGCAAGCACACTAGCTGCAATACCTCGCACACGCACCTGGCCCTGCCTCCCAAGAGCCTCAGACAGGAGGCTGAGAAGATGGGGAGCACAGAGCCTTCTGGCAGAAGGCTGGCTCACCCCAGCTCGCTGGAGGCCTTCTCAGAAGGACACAGGAGTCACACAGAGAACTGCTCCGAGGCAGGGCTCCATCCTAGACCAGAGGGACAGCTGAGGGAGAGAGGGACAGCTGGCTCCACACTGGCGACCACCGGCAACCAGAGAAGCCAGCCTGCAGACAGCCTTTTCGTGCGTTCCCTGGAGAGGTTCCCGTCCTCTCCTGGCCAAAGCAGCTAAGAAGAGAATCTCAGTGTGGCAGAATAAAACTGCACATTAGTTTCTTTTTCCCTGATAGTTCATTCTGTTTCAAATTCAAAGTGAAATAAAGAGAATCGCCTAAGAAAACGTTAAAGCTTTAGTCTCAGATCACTTTTTATCTGACAGCAGCTTTGAAGCAACAAGCAATCTTTATCATTTGAGGTTTTTAAACTAAATTGACGTGAGGATGTCCAACGTAACCAGATGTTTCTAAAAGCCAATTTTCAAAGTGACATCAGTGCTTCTGCCCATCCTCCAAATAAGAAACCTTCATCCTGGTTACAAACAAATGACTGAAACATCATGATCACAGGAGGCACAGCAAGAGATGGGGGGATGGTCCGGGGAGGGGGGCGTAGACGGGGGTTGGGGGGAAAGGAGGGTAGAGACTGCATCCAGGGAGCCCATGGAGGCTCCTCCCCAGGCCTTGCCCAGCTCATCTCTTCTAGCAGCTGTTTCTAAGCAATGCTCTGGTAAAAAGGCTGGAATAAGAACAGCCCCTCTGAGTTCTGCGAATCTCTCTGGGGAACTCATAGCCAGCCCTAAGTGGAGGGGAAAGGGAGCTTTGGCTCTGCCAGCAGGTGAAAGTACAGTGGAGTCTGTAGAGTGTCATGGGAGCTGCAGACTCTGGGTAGCTGGTGTCAGGATACCAGCAGGGACAGGGCTGGAGACCCGGTGACAGAGGAAAAGCACCAACACCAGGGCCCATAGTTACCTGTTTTGGAAGTTTGGGTTTTCTTGGGGGGTGGAGCGGGGTGGCAGGGGGAGGTTGGGTACCATCCAGGGGTTACTCCCTGCTTTGCACTCAGGGATCACTCCTGGTGGGGCTCAGGAGACCATATGGAGTGCCTGGGACTGAACCCAGGTCGGTCACATGCAAGGCAAATGCCCTCCCCACTGTACTGCTGCTCCGGTCCAACTTTTGACCTCTTGCTGGTGAGGAAACATAAACTGTGGGTGAGATGTTTTCTATTACCTGCAGCCCCTATGTCGGGCACAAACATGCGAGCTCCTTTATCCCGGGGCACATGTTTCCACCCCACCAAGACTCCTGCCATTCACAGCCCACACAAATGGAAACACTCCCAGATCCACAGATCACTAGGGAAACTGCGGGTACTTATTTGTTCTGCTGCCTGGCGAGTCTCACTGCCAGGGAGCAGAAACACGGGGTAATTTGCTCCTCGGGCCCAGCTCCACTCACTCAAGCCAAGCAGACCCACCTGTAAGGCAGCTGACCCCCAAGCGGGGCTCCCACAGAGGCATTCCCAGAGGCGCCTGCTCGAGGCCTACCTGCTCGTGATGGAGCTGTTCTTGTCCTTCAGGCTCAGCTCTCGCTGCTGCAGCTCAACAATGAATCTGGACAGATCTTCTGGGGTCCTGTGGGATTAAAAACACACCCTCAGTGCCACTGTCCACTCACAGGGTAGCCACAACTGCAGGGACTTCCTTTGTTTATTCACCTGTAACAGGAGGGTCACTGCTAGTGCCAAGGGGCCAAGTTGCTCAGCACTCCGCCTCCTCCCCTACTCCCATGGCTCTCACACATCAGCAGGGGCCGTGGGGGCCACGCCACAGGGGCTGCTCCACAGCAGCACTCAGCGTGACTCACTGGTTGAAAGTGGCTTCCCACTTCTCTTTCACTGACGCAGAGACTGATACTCAAGACAGTAAAGACCAGCTCCACGCCCTCTCTGCGTCCAGCCCCATCACTCACTGCACACTCAGGAAGACAAAGGAGAAGGGACAGGCCCAGCCAGCAGAGCATCCCCTGCCCTGGCCACAGCATGGCCAAGCTGCTTGGCTCACAGAGGGGTGAGAGGTCAGGACGGGAGGACCACAGAGAAGGCAACGTGCCTCCAGCCTCACGTGCTCCTATTTAGGGGAGGAGAAAGCAACAGAGAGAGGTCCCCGTCCGCCTGGCAGCAAGCAGGCTCCCAAGCCCCCTGACAAAGAGTGCCAGCCAATGCCCTGAGGTCCCGGTGAACTTTAAGCACCTCCCTGGCCCTGAAGGCTCCCCCAGGAAGACGTCAGTAGGTTCCTGCAGGAAGCAAGTCCCCTCATGGAAACCTGCAGAACCCCTGTAGTATGCCCTTCCTGGCCACTTGAATCTGTCAGGCTTTTCTCCACCAGCTCGGGAATGGGAACCCTGAGCTTCCCTGAAAAAATGCTTCCTCCAAAGGCTGGTCATCTAGGAAGAACAATGCCCCCTCAAAAAAGGACTTCTAGGGCTGGAGTGATAGTACAGCGGGTAGGGCGTTTGCCTTGCATACGGCCAACCCGGGTTCAATTCCCAGCATCCCATATGGTCCCCTGAGCACCACCAGGAGTGATTCCTGAGTGCATGAGCCAGGAGGAACCCCTGTGCATCGCCAGGTGTGACCTGAAAAGAAAAAAAAAAAAGGACTTCTCTGTTGCGTCCTGGGCACTCCCGCCAAGACTTCCTGCCTGCCCCATCCCCTCAGCAGGCTGTTTCCTGAGCACTAGCAAAGTCTCTAATATTTTGTGAGGATGTGGCCCCAGTACACAAGGTGTGGCAAGGCCTGTAGCAGACATCCCTAGCCCAGCCCCACCCTAAATTAGGTTTGCTCTACAAGTCAGCAGTCGTGTGGAAAAGATGTCTGCCAGTAAAAGATGTTTTTGAGAGACTGCAAGCTGAGAGTGGCAAAAGAATGTGGCAGATATTGTCTCAGTCCTGAATGCCAGTTTCCATCTTTTTCCACGTTTCCTGGCCAGGGCGGGAGGGTGAGAGGGTCCGTGGGACTGGGATGAAGGAATGAGGATGGTCTGCAGGCGGTGTGTGAGCCACAGTGCTACTAATGCACAGATAGTAACAGCAATGCCCATCACAGACCAATACCAAGGAAATACCAAGGAAACCTTCCCAGACATTTTTCCTGAAACTTTTATTTTAGACCACAGCTGGTGGTGCTCAGCGGTCACTCCCCCAGGGTCAACTCCTCTGTGCCAGGCACCAAACCCAAGGTTCCTGCATGCAAAGTGTGATTTGAGTCATCCAAACCCTCAGCCCAGCCCTGCAGAAGTTTGTAAGAGATATTCCCGTTGTTGTTGCCTCATTCCACATTCCTGAGTCAAGGGGGCATGTGAACTGCCTCTGAACATCTGCCCCCCACCCCCCAAAAGCACTTGCATCCCTCACTCAGCTGCCCCTCCCCGGAGGCCCCCCACCAGGCTGCAGGCAGTACTGTTTGGGAGCAGTGGCTGGTGCTGCAGGAGATCCCCGCCCTGCGGGACATCACACCCAGACCTGAGTACTGGAAGGGCCAAGAGGGAGTCTGCAGTCCTGGGCTCTCGGGGAGAATGCTCCTGTCAATACAGAGGCTTCCCTCCCCAAGGCCTGCTGCCTACATTCTGCTCGCCTCCTGGGAGCACTCAGCAATGGGCACAGTCAGGAGCGGTCCACATCCATCTAGAGACAAATGAGCCCTGCGAAACTAGGAGCTGATGTAATACAGTAGAGAGCCGGGCTGCTGCTGGGCGAGGCTTTCTAATCTCCTTTGAAGCAAAGATAATTAGAAATGTAACAATTTAATAATGAGAGGGGAATTCGGAACAGTTCAAACGAGAGATAAATGAACGTAATAAGCTACCCGAAATGCCCTGTCCTGTGGCGGCTCGGGCAGTTGTGTCTCAGGGGCACCTGCCCAGCCAGCACACTCTCAGGCTGCGGCTCTGGGCTGCATTTCATAGCCTGGTGGAAATGCATCACACACACAAGGACAGAGCACCAGTACAGCGGGAAAGGTGCTGGCCTTGCATGAGACCTACCATCTCATAGGGTCCCCTGAGCCCACCAGTAGTGATTCCTGAGTGCAAAGCCAGGAGTAACACCTGAGCACCACCAGGTATGGCCCAGAAATCAAAAACAAAAAGAAACGCATCACATAGGCTGGATGAGACCCAGATGCACGGGACTTCTGAGCGCTTATCTAGACAAGGGTCTGGCTCCGTGTCTGAACATGCAAAGCAGGGCACTGGCGTTGCTGGATTCCCTTTCACCACTCTCCCCACAGGTACAGACCAGACAAGCAAAGCACGTGGCAACAAGCCTCAGCAGGGTCCTCCACGCCGCGTTCTTTCTGAGTCTAAACTGCTTTCCCAGAAAGAGTTCTGCTGTGGGGAGGAGGTGGACACTTGGTTGAGGCACACGGCCACTGAGAGCAGCGCCCAAATCAAACATTCCAGTCAACTTGCTTATAGCACACCGTGGGCCCAGATTCAAGGAGTGTCATCTCTGCCTGCAGTGAGAACCTGGAGCTACAGACTCCGTGTGACCATGGGACCAATTCCAGCCACCCACTGAGAGCCCACTCTGCTGGATCTCACCACAGGATCCCTGAGGGCGAGAGCACCTGGACCAGCCCCCAACATGGCTTCAGGCTAGCAAAATGCCACATCTTCTTTAGTTACACCAAGACTCAGCAGTCTTGGGGGCGGGATTGATAGGACAGCAGGGAGGGCACTGGCTTACACCGGTCAACACAAGTTTGATCCCTGACACCCAACATGGTCCCCCAAGACTGCCAGGAGTGATTCCTGAGTACAGAGCCAGGAATAAGCATTCTGAACATTGCTGGATGTGGCCAAAACACACATACACACACACACACAAACACACATGACTCAGAAGTCATGCCCAGCCTTTCTGGATCACTATTGGCTTCCACCTTCTCCTACAGCACCAAGCACCATTAGCTAGATGACACCCTCACCCACTTCACACAAGACAAGGTGAGGGGCTGTTGCGCAACTATACAAGTAGTCCGAAACACCTAGAATAATTTCGGCCCACTGAACTGGAGGGAGAGATGATTCTTACACTGAACTTTTATAACCACTGACAGCCTAAGAGAAAGACAGAACTTGAGGTGGCAAAAGAATCTCATGAAACAGCAGGGCAAGTCACTGAAAAGAATTCTCCATGCAATTCAGTACACCACCTTCTATACAAATAACACAGAAAGCATCCTCTGAGGTTCTCCATCAATTTGATGGACAAATATAAGGCTCTAGAATTAGATCTCATGACTCCCAAAAGTCAAGGTGGAACAGTTAACCTACAGATGTCATCAGAGAACGCCAGAAAGTGACACCTAAATTGAGTGACTTCTTTAACTACCAGGTAAGGGATGGTCACGAGACTTTCTGCGAATTCAATGTATAATCAAATGCCTCTGTCACAGTAATAGTATTATTATTATACCAGAAACCCAAGTGAAAACGCAGTGGCATGACTCTCTGTCACACAACATGCAGCTCACATGTTCCCCCACCGCACTCTGAAGCTTCTGTCTGGAAAGCAGAATCCGCTCCAACCCCCATGAGAGGTACCCCAGGCAGCGGTATCCTCCTTCAACAGCCTTGTGAGAGTATGAGCCACCAACTGCAGCGACGGAGCCCAAACCCAGACGACCAGGCTCCAGGTCTGCTCCTCACCTCCACACTGTGGACTGCAGAACTTCAAGAACAAAGAGTGCGCCAAATGCCATGCAGGCACTGAGCGTCAGTGAGTGCCTGCATGGCATTTGGCACACTCTGTGAGTGCCAAAGTCTAAAATGCAAAATCTATCTTGCTCTTTAATGATAATAACAAAGAAATTTAGATACATGTATCTAATATCTAACCTACTGGTTAGACCTTTAAATATAGATATGCACATACAGAAAAAAGCAGAACCAGAAAAATAGGTTATATCTACCTAGATTAGAAGCACATCTGTGTAGGGCTGGAGAGATAGAATAGAGGGTAGGGTAATTGCCTTGCTTGTGGCAGAACTGGGTTTGATCCTCAGCACCCCATATAGTCCCCCCAAGCCTGCCAGGAGTGATCCCTGAGCACAGAGCCAGGAGTATACCCTGAGCACTGCTAGGTGTGGCCCCAAAAATTAAAAATTAAAATACATCTGTGGTGATAAAAACTAGAAGAAATTGATTAAGATCAACCTAGAGTCCTTTTAGAATTACAGGATTCTGGGGCTGGTACAGATACAATATAGCAAGTGGCACTATAGCACCATCCTCCCATTGTTCATCAATTTGGCACCAGTAACATCTCCATTGTGAAACTTCTTGTTACTGTTTTTGGCATATCAAATACACCACGGGGAGCTTGCCAGGCTCTGCTGTGCAGGCGGGATACTCTCAAGAGCTTGCCACGCTCTCTGAGATGGACGGAGGAATCGAACCCGGATTGCCGCATACAAGGCAAATGCCCTATCCACTGTGCTATCACTCCAGAACACAATATAGCAGGTAGGCGGAAAATTCAGATTTGGTCCTGGGCATCTCACATGATCCCCTAAGCACCACCAGGAGTAGTTCCTAAGTGCAGGGCCAAGAGTAACCCCTGAGCATTGCCA